GGACATATTTTACAATGACCAGATTCCCCACTCCATCTAGATGTGCGGTCTTTAGCAAGAAGGCGGCCATGCATTATGATCCACATACAAGATTTAACACGTTGAGGCCCATGCCATTTCCATATGGTAGTCCAAGAATTTTTCAACGGCATGAGAGGGAAACCAAGCATGTTATAATACGCGGTTTTAACTAAAGAGCAGCCAACCTTTTGATTTCTCCAACCACAACGAATCGGGCGAAGTAAGTATCGTCCATGCAAGCTTGTGAAAGAAAGCCATATTTTGGACACGAAGGTTAATCACACCTAAGCCACCCATGCTCTTAGGCTTGCAAATATTATCCCATGCAACCAGATGAGATCTCCTTTGACCATTTTTATCACCCCAAATAAAGGCACGCTGCAACTTCTCTATTTCATCACAAATGGCTACAGGAAGCAGACTGTGTTGCATTTGAAATATAGGAGTTGCTGAAATAACGGAGTTGGAAAGTGTAATTCGACCGGCAAAAGATAAGACCTGGTTACTCCAACCAGATAACTTGTGCCTAATTCTTGCAACAACATCAGCATAATGGTCTTTGGTTACTCGACCATGTTTCATCATGGACCCAAGATATCTCCCTATATTGTGAGTTTGCTTGAAGCCACACACATTTGTGATATCATCTGCAATGTGAGCATCTGTATTTTTCGAGAAGAAAATACTAGATTTCGGAATACTAACCTTTAGGCCAGACATTGAACTAAAAGTCTCCAAGCAATCCACTATAACTTTGATTTGATCTAGAGAAGCTTCTGCAAACAACATCAAATCATCAGCAAACATCAGATGGGCTATCTTAGGACCTTTTGATCCCACGGAGATTGGCTTCCATCTCTTATTGTCAACCGCATCTTGAATGAGATGAGACAATTTTTCCATAGCTAGAACAAAAATGTAGGGAGATAAAGGATCACCCTGACGAACTCCTCTTGAAGGAAGGAAGTCACCTGCAATGGCTCCATTCCAAAGCACTGAGACCTTATCAGAGTTGATACAATTCATGATAATATTTGTGAACCAGTGTGGGATTTGAATTTCATCCAAAATTTTACGAACAAACTCCCAATTTAACATATCATAAGCCTTTTCCAAGTCGATTTTAATTGCCATGAAACACTTTCTTCCTCTCATTCTACGCATTGAATGGATCAGCTCTTGGGTGATGATGATGTTGTCCTGGATATGTCGTTTAGGAACAAAACTAGCTTGGAAGGGAGACACCATCTCTTCCATTAGGGGCTTCATTCTGTTAACCAGAATTTTACTGAGGATTTTATAAATGACATTGCACAAAGAGATTGGTCTGAGCTGCTTAGCACTTTCAGGTCTCTTTACTTTTGGAATGAGGACCAGAAGAGTCGAGTTCACAAGGTGAATCAGATTGGGATTCTGAAACATCATGTTAACATCCTTAATAACATTAGTCTTAATAAGACTCCAATTCTTATGAAAAAAGGCAGCTGGAAAACCATCTTCCCCTGGAGCTTTTGACCCATTGATACTAAAAACAGCTTTTGAAATTTCGTCATCCGAAAGATTACGAGTCAAATTAGATAGCAGATCATCGTGCAGAAGGGGCCAAGTAGTCTTTGATTTCACCCAATCACGATTAAGGACTTCCTCACTAAACAAGTTGCTATAGAAATCTGTTACCAATTGATGAAGTTGTCTAGCTTCCTTCACCCAAATCCCATCAGAATTTTTTAACTCAAGAATCCTATTCGAACTTCTTCGAGTAGCTGTTTTAATGTGATAGAATTTGGTGTTTCTATCCCCATCATTTATCCATTTCACCCTGGCTTTTTGAAACCATAAGATCTCTTCTTGTATGAGAACCGCATCAAGGTCCTTCCTAACCTCCTTTTCTCTAGATTGGAGAGATAAGTTGGTATGATAATCAACATGATTCTGAATTTCTGCAATACTATGCAATAGGTTAGTCTTCCTATTGAAAATGTTGCCAAAGACTATCTTGTTCCATCTTTTTAAATTTGGAGTCAGATCATGCAGATTCGTTCTAGTGTCTTTCACAACATTCCAGCTCCTAGCCAGAAACTGAGTAAAGTTATAATGCTCCATCCAAGCAATCTCAAAGCGAAAGGGACGATTTTTCCAACCTGTGTCCAAGTTAGACAAGTAGACCAAAATGGGACTATGATCAGAATAAATCCGTGGAAGTACCTTAACGCCAGCATCAGTAAAGGTAGTCTTCCAACTTGCATTAGCACAGGCTCGGTCCAGCCTCTTAAAAACACGATCAAGATGAAGAAACTTCGGACCCTTCCATGTAAACCAAGGACCTGATCCTCCAAGATCCAGCAGCTTGCAATTATGAAGAACATTTGCAAAATTGGAACATCTGTTTAAGTTAACTCTACAGCCACCTTTCTTCTCATCCCGATTTGCTATTTCATTAAAATCCCCAGCCACCAACCACGGCCCATTACAATGGAGACTAATGTTTAGCAGATCATCCCATAGCTCCTTTCTATTTTCTTCCCTAGGACTCGCATAAACTGCCGTGCAAGAAAAGGAAGGAACATGAAAATTCTGAACTTTAAAATGAACAAACTGTTTTGTGTGATTAATAATTTCAACGAGACCCGTCTCATCATTCCAGAGGATCCAAATACCCCCTGAGTAACCTTCTGCCTCTTGAACAAAAGCATGCTTAAACCCAGATTTTCGGATAATGTCAGAAGCTTTTTGACCACTACACCGAGGTTCTAGAATCACTACAATACTAGGCTTATATTTCCTAGTAAACAGAAAAAGCGAATTTTGAAACTGGGGTTTCACTGCTCCCCTACAGTTCCAGAAGAATAAATTCATTAAAAACTATGTTGAACGCAAGACTCCAAGGTTCTTGCATCCTTCATTCTTGAAATATCTTCCTGGTGAACTCTGTCCACCTCCATGCACGTAGAGATGGTTGAGGTTTCAGGATTTTGGATGTCGCTGCTGTTGTCAACTGATATATCAGGACCAGTTTTATGAAATGTGTCATATAACTGCTCTTGATTCTGGTTCAAAGTGCTATCTGTTTTCATCCCATTTTCCTGATCATGTTGATTTGTTTGCATAGGACTAACCGCCATGGGAGTAGCAATTGATGGAGATGGTGGAACGGGAGTATGATCTTCACGATTTTCACTCTGGACTGGACACCTCTTACCCGTGCTTGAAGAATGAGCCGCATGCATAGTAGGAACCGTTGATTTAGTCCTAGGGGTATCTTTGGACTTTTTGGATTTAGTCCATATTTTCTGAGGAATTTCAAACTGAGGGGCCCCCATATGAGGAGTAACAGAATTAATTATTTGATTATGATCCTCCTCATTAATAGGTCCAGCTGTTAAGATTGCAAACCGTGATTGCGTAATTTCCTCCTTATCACCATGATTATCTCCATGATTATCGCTGGTCATAACTCCCTTATTACCATGATTACCATGATTATCGCTGGTCATAACTCCCTTATTACCATGATTACCATGATTATCGCTGGTCATAACTCTCTTATCACCATGATTATCTCCATGATTATCGCTGGTCATAACTCTCTTATCATTATTCCTTTGTAACGTTTTTGAACCAGCGCCTGGCTGGACTGCACCGGCCGTCTGAGGAGGTTGCCGGCTCCTGCGTTGACGATTAACAACCATCCAAGGTCCCAATCCTTTACTTCGATGGAATTCTGAGTTGCCAGGTTCCTCTTGATGAATTTGATCGTCATTATGAATATCGGATGAACTGCGTTGCTTTGGAGCAGCTGAACAATTCTCGGTGCTATGTCCATATTTCCCACAACCAAAACAAATGAGCCCTAATCCTTCATACTCAATTTGTTTGGTAAATCCTTCCAGAACATAATCACCCTTTAATGGCTGAGATAGGTCCAGTTCCACACATATTCTTGCAAACCGTCCTCTTACATGAGCATTTGTATTGCTGTCTACCTTGATCATCTTGCCTAACCAGTTTCCAATCCTTCTAAAAAAAGCTTCATCATAGAATTCAATGGGAATATCCGGTAGACGAATCCAAGCAGCAATCTTAGCAATTCCAGCACTATTAGGTCTGAAAGTTGGTTCCCACTTCCTCAACGATAAATAATGACCCAAAACAATCCATGGACCACCGTTCAACGCAAAATTGAGATCATCTTTCTCACTAAACTGGACTACGAAAAAGTCATTACCAATATCAGTGACATTGATTTTGCCTTTTCTAGCCCATAAGACATTTATTTTTTTCTTCATAAACTCCACCCCAATTTTCTTCCCAAGGAGTTTAACAATCAGAGCTTTCTCCCAAGGTTTCCTCATTCTCTTCCTTGCTCTTTTGGTGCAACTAAAATAAGTACGCCCATCATCTTCCTCCCACATCTTAATTCCTCCATGGTTGACATCCTCCTCCTCAGCAGGTTCCTCCCCATCTAAGTCTTCCTCGGCAGACGCCTCTCCTTCCCATTCATCATCTTCTCCATTATGACGCATCAGAATTTCCCTCCAGGTTGAACGTTGGTCATTCTCATCTTCCATCCAACCTTCATGTCTAGGTATCATAGATACATCATTTGAAAACTGATCTCCCTCACATTTATTCCTCTTATTACTTCTTTAAAGAATACCCTTTTAACTTAGTATCAATCTTTCAAACGTCAAATAAATCATGGAATAATTGTTATTCACAGAATAAAATAAAATAAATAGCATCAAATGTTATCGTAATGGTACCTACCTTCTTCAACACTAAACTAACCAATATCTCCGAGTGGAATTTATTCTTCCACTCGTCTTCCTTTCTTCCATCTTTACTTGCGAGTCCACTTCCACTACAGCACGATATAAAAAAATTTATCCAATAATAAAAATAATTATAATAATGAGAATTATTAATTTTTTAATATAAATAGAGTCCAAAGGCTCAAGCAATGATTGTAGAGTCATTAGTGTTGAGTTGCAGTTTCAGCATTTCCAAAGCTGATGCGATTCCATTTCCATCTTCACTTCATCGTCATCGTCTTCTTCGAAACAAGCCATTTTCATCTGCGATAATCACTCTCAGGTTCCTTCTTTGACTCTTCCATTTCTTAGTATGGAATTGCAAACTGTTTTGTACTGCATGTCTTCTCTTTGATATTCTGTTTTCGTTCCTGCGTGTTTAATCAACGATCGGAGTTTCAGTTATTGAAGTTTGAGTAGCTTATTTATCAATTTTACATGTTTTCCACTGTATTGAAAGAGATATAGTTAATCATTCTTGCTTTTACCTTATTATTATTATTACTATGCCGCTCAACTGTTTTCTTCTGAATTTCATTTCATGTCAGTGAGTATTTTCATGATCATTATTATTATTATTATTATTATTGTTATTATTATGAGATTGGATAACAACTGAATTGAATACTTGCATGGCTGTTACTTGTACAATTTTTCGTCTGCAGAAAAAAGGGGATTTGTGAGAAGTTTATATCCGGAATGGCTAATTATGAAGGACAGACAGTCACTAGTGGTAACAATGTCAGATCAGGGAATATGATTTTTGAGCCAATTTTGGAAGATGGAGTGTTCCGTTTTGATTGTTCTGTAGATGATAGAGATACAGCATATCCCAGTATTTCTTTTGTGAATAGCAGGGATAGAGAGACGCCCATTACTACTCAGAAGGTTCCTTCATATACTCCTACTTTTGAGTGCTCTCAAGAGCAGCAGGTTGTCAAACTTGAGGTCAGTTACTTTATTAGTTTCTGCCAACAGATCTTTTGTTGTCATTTTACAAATGTTGGTTATCTTTTATCTTTAAGTATTATTTACTTATTTACTTTCTCTCTTTTTTTTTTTTCTGGTCTAATTTGCTTCTTATGCTATTTCCCTGGCCTTTAGAAATTGATTGAACTTGTTTCTGAATCAGCTGCCTATAGGTTCCTCCCTCTATGGAACTGGAGAAGTTAGTGGGCAGCTTGAGAGAACAGGCAAAAGTGTAGGTTAATTTTATGGTTTTTTAAGTTTTTAAAAGTTTTTTTTATTATCTATGTACTCATCAGTTGAATTTCATTTGCAAAGGTTTTCACATGGAACACGGATGCATATGGTTATAGTCCTGAAACTACATCCTTGTACCAATCACATCCGTGGGTGTTGGCTGTTCTTCCAAATGGGGAGTCACTAGGAATTCTTGCTGATACTACGAAGCGTTGTGAGGTGCTGTTGCACTTGGCTTTATGTCATTTATTGAGGTTGACCTTGAAGCTATGAAGCACCGACACTTCAAAATCCCTGATGTGTCGTGTTCGACACTTTCTGACACTCTCCGACACTTCGACACTCTAACACACGTTATAGAAATTCAAAAAAAGGTTGCGTTGCGTTGAGTTTTTAGTTCTAACTATTAGATTCATTGGATTACGATTACCATTTTATTGAGTTTAATATAAATATTTGGAATATCTTATGTTTCTTTGCAAAATTGATGAATATTATAAGTTTAGTTTCATTTTTTGTTAAATTATTGAATATTAAATATAATATACACTACATAAATTAAAAATATTATTTAATCAAAACGTGTCCTAACGTGTCGAAATCTAACATTTTTTAGAATTGACGTGTCGGAGTGTGGTGTCGTATCGTGTCGCGTGTCCCGTGTCAGTATCGGTGCTACATAGCCTTGAAGGGACATTTATGCTTTTATATTGATCTTTTTTATGGTCGTTTGTTCTGTTCACAAGCAGATTGATTTGAGGAGAGAATCAACAATACGTTTCGTCGCTCCATCCTCATATCCCATCATTATATTTGGTCCTTTTGCTTCACCCACGGAAGTTTTGATATCTCTATCAAAAGCCATTGGTAATTTGCTAACATGACAATTATGCGGCATCATCCTTCTTGAGGCACTTGACATAAGATTTTATGCAATTCTTTTGTTGGGAAAAACCAAAGTGTGTTGTACTTCTGGAGACCAGTCAATAACAAAACAAGAACCTAGTATCTATAGTTGACCCACATGAAATCAGGATTCATATGCAACATAGGTTAATATGTTATACGTGTTAAACATTCGCAAGTATGCTTTTATTAAACAAGGAGCCCTCATCATTGATAATATTATGCTTGTTTATCTATTATCTTCAATCTGTGAGCATGTTACTGTAACTTATGTGTAAGATTCAAGAAGAGACCCTCTTTTAAATTAAAATTCCATGCAATACATTAGGATATCAATGTTGTTTGTCAAACACTTTCCAATGTCGTCATTTAATTTATTTTGATGGTAAAAGATACTTCCTTACTGTTCTTTTTTCATCAGGAACTGTGTTTATGCCTCCAAAATGGTCATTAGGCTATCAACAATGCCGTTGGAGCTATTTATCTGATCAGAGAGTTCTGGAGGTACTTGGTGCTAGTACTACTGTTTCTGTGTCTCACTCAATAGTGACGACTCATTAATTAATTGCATTCATATATATAGAAAGCTTGAGCTGGAGACGCTGAATATGGCATGTGTTCCAAGTTCTAACTGTGGTTTGTTATGTCTTTTTTCCCTTACTGTTTGTTTAGATAAGAAAAAAGGAAAAGTTCTATTTGGGGTGCCTGTATTTTGATATGCAAGTCCCCTGGGGTTTTGGATGTCAATATAGCATTGCCTATGCTAGGTGTTGACCAATATAACTTTTAAACAGAAGGATGTAGATGCCTTCATGATATCAAATTTCCTCATTGTTGGGTATACCTTTCAAGAGACATGGGAATCCTGGATGCCTGGGAATCTTGTGTATATAAATACAGTTTAAATAATACATTTAGAATAGAATACAAAAGATTGGCATGTACCTTGAAACGTAGCCATCACACAATCCTGGGAATCTTAATTAACTTTCAGCTCTCATACTATGGGTTTCCTAAATTCTGATGCATCTAATACCCTTTGTTTTGTATATTCCAACTTTCTTTATTCTCTTCACTTGGTAACAATTAAAATTTGCAGGTTGCAAGAACATTCAGGAAAAAGCGCATACCTTGTGATGTGATATGGATGGATATTGATTACATGGATGGTTTTCGTTGTTTTACCTTTGACAAGGCATGTTTTACTTTTTTCCCCCAAGAAAAAGATCAGTAATCAATTTACAGTATCATAGTTTTTATTTTCTCATTAAATCTTTTTAGACGTGCACATGAATTGATTCAGCAATGAGTACATGCAGTATGTTGCTCATAATTAAAGTGATATATTGTGTAGTTTGTATACGGTTCTTTTGGTGCCTAACTTTAGTTGTCGAACCTGCACTACTACTACGGAAAATGCTTAGTTACAGTTTTGGGTTTGCCATCTTTAATGTCTATAACAACACTTTTTGTGTGGAAAAGTAAGCATCGTAATGTCCTTCAGGAGCGTTTTCGAGATCCCAAGTCTTTAGTAAAAGACCTCCATTATAGTGGTTTTAAAGCTATTTGGATGCTCGATCCTGGGATCAAGCAGGAAGAGGGTTATTTTGCATATGATAGTGGTTCTAAAAATGATGTTTGGGTCAAAAAGGAAGATGGAACACCTTTTGTTGGTAAGTTTTCTTTGTACATATATACTTCTGCACTTCATTCCTTCTTTCCTTTTGGTGATGCATTAAACACGTGTATCCATTATCAGGGAACGTGTGGCCTGGGCCTTGTGTCTTCCCTGACTATACACAGTCAAAAGTTCGTGCATGGTGGGCTAATTTAGTTAAAGACTTCATTTCCAACGGTGTTGATGGCATATGGAATGATATGAATGAGCCAGCTATCTTCAAGGTAATTGTAATCTCATTGGTTTCTTTTCTTTGAATATAAAACAATGTTTGGTCCAAATCTTAGTACTTGTGACTCTTGATTTGTACCATCTCTACCTTTTTTATCCCTTTCATTTCCAGGTTTTAACAAAAACAATGCCTGAGAGCAATGTTCATAAAGGAGATAGTGAAATTGGAGGTTGTCAGAATCATTCTTTCTATCATAATGTAATATTCTTTTCCTTTATCATGATTTTGGGGTTGCATGTCATTTTACCAGACTTGTGGACAATGCATACAAATGGGATCCATTTTGATTATATAATAAAATTCTGTCCTGCATCTTGATTCTGATATTCATTTATGAATTTATGCTTGATTATGCATTAGCGTGTAGCATAGTGTGCTCGGAACTTTTATCAAATGTTATGACTGTGCAATATAGGTGTATGGTCTACTGATGGCAAGATCAACCTATGAAGGCATGAAACTAGCTAATGAAAAGAAGCGTCCTTTTGTTCTCACCAGAGCTGGATTTGTTGGCAGCCAAAGATATGCAGCAACATGGACCGGAGATAATCTTTCAACCTGGGAGCATTTTCATATGAGTATCTCCATGGTACTTCAGCTGGTAAGAATCTTAGGAGTATGGATGCTACTTCTGTATTTTCTTGTAAAGCATGGTTTAAGTCTTGGTAGACCCTTACTTATGGCATTCTATGTAATTCACTTTTAAGTCTCATGAACAACTTTTTTTGCTATGCCAGTTATTAGCTTAAGTTTTGGAAATATCAATTACCTAAATGTTAAATTATATATACCTTGCGTTTGTGGTGCACTATTGTACCCTCATAAGACAGGATAACTGCATGTAGCAGTCAATGAAGGCTTCTTTAGATAATGTCAGATAGATTGCTTTTTTTTTTAATATACATAAATAAACTTTTTCTTCCAATTGGTAGAAGATTTTTTTTTTTTTTTTCATAATTTTCGAATGTGGTTCAGTGCCAAAAGAATTTAAAATGTTATTGTCTTACTATGATCTAGTTGTATTTGCCGACCCCAACTAGTTTGAGATAAAGGTGTTGTTGATCTTGATAATCTAGTTGTATTTAAAATTTTAACATAAATAATCACATTACAAAATGTTTTGTATTTTCTTTCATAATCTCATTCCTTGTGCTCAGGGACTCAGTGGCCAGCCAATTTCGGGTCCTGATATTGGTGGATTTGCAGGAAATGCATCGCCTAGACTTTTTGGAAGGTGGGTGGGTGTAGGTTCCTTGTTTCCCTTTTGCCGAGCGCACTCTGAAGCTGGCACTACTGACCATGAACCCTGGTCTTTTGGGCAAGAGGTTGGTTCATCTTTGGCTGTATAAAATCAATCATTCTTGTAGTTTCCAACTTTTCATGTGTTGGACATTTTTGTAAATTCTAAGTTGAAATTGCTTGTCACTAGATATCATGTGGAGCAAAAATGAATAAAGGCTGTTTGTTGAGCTTGATCATTAGCTTTGCGTTACGTCAACAAATTTGAGTCAATGAAACAAATGCATAATAAATCTTACATGTTTTTCATTTCGTGCTTTAAGTTCTGGTAGTGCACATATGATATGAACTTATTCTGTGTTATTTTTAAAAAGTATTTTGGGTATTTTCTTTCCTCGATATCTTTTGAATTTTAATGGAACTTGATAACCATTGGAACTCGATATCTGTTGATATTTTTCTTTTCTTTTCTTAATTTATTTAAGATATATAGAGCATAAAAATTCTGGTGTTATCATCATGTATTCTTTTTAGCTGCATTTACTGTCTTATTCTGCATGGCGGTAATTGCTGAAGTATCGATGTCCACAGACCACTGCCTATTGAATCATGATTTTATACTTGACATAGTAATTTGTTATTAGTATTTGCTAGCACCTTCTTACTGGATTTTGAGTGACTGGTGTATTTCTTTATTAGAAAAACCTTGAATTATTTTGAGTGACTGGTGAACCTAGCACTGTCAGATGAAGGCTAAGACAAGTTTCTGTGATGATTGGACAATTTACAGTCCTTATAATTATTATTTTCCTCACATAATGAAATGGTTTTCTGTAATTTCAGATCATTTACATGCTTAAAACTATGCATAACTAACTCCAGCTCTATTTTTTAGTGTGAAGAAGTCTGCCGACAGGCATTGAAGAGGCGCTACCGCCTTATCCCACTCATCTACACACTTTTTTATTTTGCTCATACAAGGGGTACTCCAGTGGCAACTCCTACTTTCTTTGCTGGTAGGTTCATGTTCTATTGACCACTTCCCATGTGTTTATTTTATTAATGATATTTGAGCTTTCTTCATATGCATCATGAATTTTCGTTCTTGCTTTTGCAGATCCAAAAGATCCTAACCTGAGGAAACTTGAAAATTCATTTTTGCTTGGTCCAGTTTTAGTGTATGCAAGGTTCTTCCTCGCCCTTACTGTGTCTTACATCAACCTAGATGACACTGCTATATTTTTCGGACATGACTTTGCGGGAAATAGGATGGTTTTCCTGATGCTTCAATGCATGCTAGCAGCAGATTTCATAAAGCTTTTAGTAATTGATAAAGGGGGAATGATAGAAAAAATTACATTTTTTTTCGTGCAAAACAAAATTCAATTTCATCATGGTAAATCTTCTTTTCAACCATACAATGGTCATCCTTTTTTACAAAATAATAAATTCAATTACAGTATGGATACAGGAAGATTACTGATCAGTACAAGATAAACAAAAATAAGTAATTGCAAACTATAAAGAACCTTGGGATACACCACCCCAAAAGCTAGCTCAAAGGGTGGGAGTGCCAAAGGCCTTATAAATTCCACATTAGTTGCTCATTCAACTAATGTGGGACTATATATCTCAACACGCCCCCTCACACAAGAGCCCATTGGGCTTGAAGAGTGGACAATGCAACAGGCCCAGCCTACCTGTGCTAAGAAACTCCACAAGAGAAAGTGTGGATGGCGAGGCTCTGATACCAACTTGAAAAAAGGTATTCGGATATATTATAGAATTGTAAATAATCTGTACAAAGGGGTCTCTATTTATAGAGAATACTTGACCTAATTTTGACCTAATGGGCTTGGCCCAATACAACAAATAAATGACTAAATAATAACTAAATAATTATAATTTACAACACAAACTGAAGTCCAGCTTATCTGTTGAGACTGGAGATGCTTTGTTACTGTTTATGGACAGTTGCTACTGGTTTCTGCTCTTCTTGTGTTCCTGTGTGTGTGGATTTTTCTTTTTCATGGTTTCATTTAAGTTTGATTCCACCTTATCTGATATTGTTCATTTTGCATTGTAGATGCGAACATTAAAAATGCAGAAGTAATGTTATCTTTTAGGCTTAATTGCACTTTTGGTCCTTCTACTGTGGCCTGTGGCCTAAGTGTGATTTTGGTCCCCCACACTTCAAAAGTCCTTCAATTTTTATAATTAAACGAATCAAGTCTATCACTTTGGCATACAATGTTTGACAGGCCCATGATTTTCAAATATGGTATAACATTTTGCTGAGTGGTCATCTAAAAGAACCTATCCTAAGCCATTAGGTGTGGACCAGTTGTGAGGTGCTTGGATATTTTGCATGATGTTATAGTTTTGCACCTCTACTACCATTGTATAAAAAAAAGTACCTGGCGAGACATGTATGATTAAAATACCTGATCCATTGATTTTTATTTTTTATTTTTCAATTGAATTTTGAATCTGTCAGGGTCTTTGCCCCAAGGCAAGGCGTCAGGTCTTCACCCGGATTTGGTGAAAAGTAGGTCAGGGTCCCAACACGCAGATGGACGAGTGTGGCGGGCAAGCACCGCCCAGGGGTTAAGGATGCGATTGGGAAGTTAGAACATAGGAACCTTAACGGGTAAATTGAGGGAGCTAGCAGATGTTTTTGCCTGAAGGAAAGTGAATATTGTTTGCTTGGAAGAAACTAAGTGGGTTGGAGAAAAGGCCAAGGAAGTGGATGGTACCGGTTTCAAGTTGTGGTACACAGGTATAAACAAAAGTCGAAATGGTGTTGGAATTATGATTGATAGAAGTTTCAGAGATAAAGTCGTTGATGTCAAAATGAAAGGCGACAGGATTATCCTAATTATGCTTGTAGTAGGCGAATTAATTTTGAATATCCTCAGTGTGTATGCACCCCAAGTTGGGTTGCAATCAAATGATAAGAACCAATTTTGGGAAGACTTGGAGGAGGTTTTGAGAGGGATACCACAATAGGAGAAGATTTTCTTGGGAGGAGATCTAAATGGTCATGTTGGTAAAAGCAGTGGAGGTTTTGATAGAATTCATGGAGGTTTTAGCTATTGGACGAGAAATGAGACTAGAGAAGATATCTTGAACGTTGCACTAGCCTACGATTTGATGGTACCGAACACCTTTTTTCAGAAAAGGGAGTCACATCTTATCACTTATCATAGTGGCCAAAATCGTAGTCAAATTGATTTCTTCATGGCTAGAAGAGAATATAGAAGTTCTTGTGTCGACTGCAAGGTCTACCCTGGAGAGTGTGTTGCTACGCAACATAAGCTGGTAGTTCTAGAGGTTCGGTTCAACAAAGTACTTAAAATGAGGAAGAAGACTCAGAACCCAAAGATAAGATGGTGGAAGCTAGAGGAGGAAAAACAATTAGAGTTCAAAGAAAGAATGTTCCATGAAGGGCCATGGGAGTTTGTTGGAGGAGCTAATGAAATATGGAACGAGATGGCTATGTGTATCCAAAATGTGAGAAAGAGGGTGCTAGGAGAAAGCAAAGGAATTGGATTCCATACAAAGGAAACATGGTGGTGGAATGAATAGGTGCAAGAGGCAATTAAACAGAAAAAGGAATGTTTTAGATCTTTGCATAAAAGTCCCAATGATAATAATTTTGCAAAAGTTTAGATTGGCGAGAAAAAATGCAAAGAAAGCAGTGCGAGAAGTTAGAGGTAAGGTTTTCGCCGATTTGTATAAAAATCTTGGGTGCAAAGGTGGTGAAAAAGGTATATACGTCCTTGCAAAAATGAAGGATAAGAAAAGTAAAGACCTCACCCAAGTTAGATGCATTAAGGATGAAAACCAAAAACATTTGATAAGAGATGAAGATGTAAATGAAAGATGGATGAACTACTTTAACAAGCTTTTTAATGGGGATGGAGATAAAAGCGAAGTGGGCTTGGAGGATGCTTATGATGACCGAAATAGAAGAATTGTGCGCAGAATCAATACACATGAAGTCAAGGAGGCTTTAAAGAGGATGAAGACTAATAAAGCTTTGGGACCTGATGGCGTACCTATTGAAGTGTGGAGAGGCTTAGGGGAGGTGACAATAAATTGGCTGACCAATCTTTTCAATAAGATTCTTCAAATAGATAAGATGCCTGATGCTTGGAGGAAGAGTGTGCTTGTGCCTATTTACAAAAACAAGGGAGATATCCAGAATTGTTCTAACTATAGAGGCATTAAGCTTATGAGCCATACTATGAAATTGTGGGAGAGAGTTATTGAACATCGTTTGAGGAGAGAGACCAAGGTTTCTGCAAATCAATTTGGATTTATGCCAGGAAGATGTACCACAGAAGCTATTTTCTTGTTGCGTCAATTGATGAAAAGATATCGAGAAAAAAGAAGGATTTACATATGATGTTTATAGATCTTAAGAAAGCATATGATAGGGTTCCAAGAAAAGTCTTATGGTGGGTTCTTGAGAAGAAAAATGTACTCTTAAAGTATATAAATGCAATCAAGGATATGTACAATTGAATCTGAAATATATTGTATATTCAAGTGTGTAAGTCTGTACAAGGAGGCTCTCTATTTATAGAGACTAAAAGACCTAACGGAATGACCTAATGGGCCAAGCCCACAATCTAGACTATTCTAATAATAATAAATAAATTAATATTATTTCTAACACTCCCCCTCAAGCTGGTGCGTATATATCAAAAGCTCCCAGCTTGTTACAAATATGATCTATTCGAGGACCTCTAAGAGCTTTAGTGAATACATCCGCAAGTTGATCATTGGAATTGACAAATGCTGTCTCGATCTCCCTTGACTGGATCTTTTCTCTAACAAAATGACAGTCAATTTCTATATGCTTGGTCCTCTCATGAAAGACTGGGTTAGAGGATATATGCAAAGCGGCTTGGTTGTCACAAATGAGCTTCATAGGCCTTTGTTCACAGAGATAGAGTTCCTTCAGCAATTGACTCAGCCAGATGAGCTCACAGGTTGCATTTGCCATTGCCCGATATTCTGCCTTCGCACTGGATCTGACGACCACAGTTTGCTTCTTACTCTTCCAAGAGATCAAATTTTCTCCGAAGAGAACACAATACCCTGAGGTGGATCGTCTATCTGAAGGAGAACCTGCCCAGTCAGCATCTGAATAACTAGAGATCTCTGAACTCCCTTTATTTGTATATAATAAACCTCTTCTTGGCGCCTTTTTAATATATCGGAGTATTCTAATAACTGCATCCCAATGGGAGTCACAGGGAGAATCAAGAAATTGACTTGCAACACTCACTGCGAAGGAGATATCTGGCCTTGTCACAGTAAGATAATTCAATTTTCCAACTAATCGGCGGTAGCGACTAGGATCTGGCAGTGGCTCCCCCTGTCCTGGTAATAACTTAACATTGGGGTCCATAGGTGTATCAATGGGTTTACAGCCTAACAAGCCAATCTCATCTAGGATATCCAGTGCATACTTCCTCTGACAGATGGAAATGCCCCGCCTAGACTGTGCAACTTCGATCCCCAAGAAATATCGAAGTTTGCCAAGATCTTTGGTCTGAAATTGATTGAATAAATGCTCTTTCAACTGATCAATCCCGGTCTGATCACTGCCTGTAATGATAATGTCATCACTATAGATCAGGAGATAAACACACTGGCCAGAAGAGCTATGCCGGTAAAAGACAGAATGATCGGCTTTGCTTCTGATTAAGCCAAAGGATTCAACAACTGAACTAAAACGGCTAAACCAGGCCCGAGGAGATTGCTTCAGGCCATATAAAGATTTCCGAAGTTTACATATCATTCCAGAACTCTCCCCCTGAGCAACAAAACCTGGTGGTTGCTCCATATAAACTTCCTCCTGCAAGTCACCATGTAGAAAAGCATTCTTAATATCAAGTTGGAGAAGGGGCCAGTGATGAATGGCGGCAAGGGCAAGAAACAGGCGAACATAAGCCATCTTAGCAACAGGAGAAAAGGTATCCCCATAATCAAGACCAAAGATCTGTGTGTATCCCTTGGCCACTAAGCGAGCTTTAAGGCGATCAACAGTGCCATCAGGACCAACTTTAACTGTGAACACCCATCGACAACCAACAACAGACTTTTCGGGAGGAGCACGAACAAGATCCCAAGTGCCATTGGAGTGAAGTGCCTGCATTTCATCAAGCATCGCCTGGCGCCACCCTGGATGAGATAGTGCTTCACCTGTGGTTTTAGGGATGGAAATAGAAGAGAGACTAGAAACAAAAGTAAAATGTTGTGAAGAAAGTCTGTCATAACTCAAGAAAGAATAAAGGGGATGAGGATTTCGAGTGGATCGAATACCTTTCCGAAGGGCAATGGGAGGAGTCTCTGATGGAGGATCCGGAGGAGAAAAGCCGACGGGAAAGGGCGATGAGTCATCAAGAGGCAAAGTCGGAGGAGGTGCAGGCTGACGACGCTGGTATGTGAGGAGAGGACGATCTGCAGGTATGGAGGTAATTGGTTGCTCCTCTGGAATAGGGTCACCTGCAGCTGGTAAAGACAAGTCAAGAAAAGGAACAGGGAGGACCTGATCAACTTGGGACACTGGAGACGGAGTAGAGTGAAAAGGCTGCTGATCAAGGAAAGTGACATCAGCAGAAACGTTATAACGCTTGAGATCAGGAGAATAGCAACGATACCCTTTTTGAAAACGTGTATACCCAAGGAAAATACACTTGAAGGCCTTGGATGTCAACTTGTCTTTACCTGGAGTAAGATCATGAACAAAACAAGTACAGCCAAAAATATGTAAAGACAGAGGATAAGAAGGTGCTCCGGAAAACAAAATATTGTGGGGAACATCATTGTTTAGCACAGAAGAGGGCATGCGGTTGATAAGGAAACATGAGGTGATAATAGCATCTGCCCAAAAACGGAGTAGGACGTTCATATGAATGAGAAGGGTACGTGCAGTTTCAACTAGATGTCTATTTTTACGTTCAGCGACTCCATTTTGTTGTGGAGTGTGAGGACAGGTAGTCTGGTGTATCGTCCCTTGTGTATCCAGAAATTTAGAAAATTCAAGAGACACTTACTCTTTTGCATTATCACTGCGCAAGATTTGAATAGAAGCACCAAATTGAGTTTTTATTTCTGCACAAAACTTTTGATAAATTGAAAATAACTCAACGATTTTTCATTAAATAAACCCAAGTGCAACGAGAGAAATCATCAATAAAGGTGACAAAATACTGAAAACCCAAAACAGACGTTGTTCGACTCGGACCCCAAATATCAGAATGAACAATAGAAAAATGAGCATCAGCTCTTTTATTGACTCTATTAGCAAAGGAGGAGCGAGTGTGTTTTCCTTGCTGACAAGAATGACAATTTAAAGACTTAAGATTGGATAAAAAGGGAACCATATGCTGAAGCTTGGAGAGGTTTGGATGACCCAGACGACTGTGAATTAGCTCAGGAGACTCTGTGAGAGAACAAGCTACTGGAGAAGGTAGTGCAATCAAATAGTAGAGACCTCGTGACTCAACGCCTGTTCCAATCGTCTTCCCCGTACCCAAATCCTGCATAGAAAAGGATTGTTTAGAGAAGGTAATAGTACATGAAAGAGAATGAATCAACTGGCTAACAGAGATTAAATTAAAAGGAATGTCAGGTATATAATAAACTGAACTCAAAGTTAAAAGAGGAGTTGGTTTGGCTTCCCCAATTCCACGAGCAGGAGCCTTAGTGCCATCAACAAGAGTGACAGGGGGTAGGTTATTAGAATGAGAAAGTGAAGTGAAGAGATCTTTATTACCACAAATATGATGAGTAGCACCTGAGTCTATTATCCAGGGTCCAAGAGATGATTGATAAAAACAAGCAACATGATTATCAGTGTCATGAGTAGGATGCTGAGAAGAAACCTTCTTGAGAAGTGCCTCATAGTCGGCACTTGAAAGAGTTACTAATCCAGTTGAAGGTGGCGTAACATCAGTTTGAGCAAAGTTGGCAGTCGGTGGCTTCAAATGAGGGTACTTCCTATAGCAGCGTTCTTCAAAATGCCCAAGATTCTGGAAATAATTGCAACGAGGCCTTTGTCTGCGGCCACGTCTACGACCGCGTCCACTGTTCCAATTGGAATCACGGGCCCGAGAAAAGAATGGAGATGGGGTAGTACCGGAGATGATGCCAGTCGTGTTTTTGGACGCATTATTTGAGCCCTCCATCACAAAATAAAAGGAGATGACCAGAAAATAGAAAAGAACTACAAGAAAGCAAGAAATCGCGCAAAAACGTTGCACAAAAGTGTCCAAACAGCGGGTTTTTCACTGATATCTTTCAAACGGATGGGACCCACAACGAACGGAGACCAGATCTGGAAAGAGGGTGAGGAGGCGAGCAAGATGGTGGTGGTCCGGCCTGGAACGGTGGTCGGACGGTGGCTCACGTGCCGGAACAGTGGTTCGGCCGCCGGAGACTTCCACCGGCGCGTGGTGGCGCGTGGATGCTCCGATCAACACGCGGCTTGGACAGACAGGGTCGCCTCCCTGAGCCACTCCTGATCGCGTGGTGGTTGGTCGGATAAGTCGCCGGAAAAGCAGTCTGACGGCAACAGTGGCGGACGGTGGTTTTCTGGCGGTTTTCGGCGATGAACGGAGGCTGACGATCTTTTTCCTGATGATACGAGGTTGAGGAAAAAAAATTTGTGACTAAATAAGGGTTAGGTGTGAAAGGATGGTTGCCGGTATGATGCACGGCAGTAAAAAGAAAGGAAAAGATATATATGCGGAAGCAGAGCCCTCAGATCGAGAGCTCTGATACCAAATTGAATCTGAAATATATTGTATATTCAAGTGTGTAAGTCTGTACAAGGAGGCTCTCTATTTATAGAGACTAAAAGACCTAACGGAATGATCTAATGGGCCAAGCCCACAATCTAGACTATTCTAATAATAATAAATAAATTAATATTATTTCTAACATGTACGATGGAGCTACTACTTGTGTGAAAGCTTGTAATGGAACATCAAGTTATTTTCCTATTACAGTAGGTGTGCATCAAGGTTCGGCTCTGAATCCTTATCTCTTTGCCTTAGTGATGGATGAACTAACAAAAGACATTCAAGAAGAAGTGCCGTGGTGTATGCTTTTTGCTGATGATATTGTGCTTATTGATGAGACCAAAATAGTGTTAATAGGAAACTTGAATTGTGGAGAAGCACTTTGGAGTCTAAAGGTTTCACGCTAAGGCGGAGCAAGACTGAGTATATGAAGTGTGAGTTTTCTCTAGTAAGAGATGGAGATCAAGACCCAGTGCATCTACTTGGTAAAGAGGTACCCAAGAAAGATACTTTTAGATACCTGGGATCAAATTTGCAAAAAGGTGGTGAGATTGATGAAGATGTAAGTTATAGAATTAGAGCAGGATGGATGAAATGGCGGAGTGCATCTGGGTTTTTGTGTAAACGCAAAATTCCCCTTAAGCTAAAAGGAAAATTCTATAGAACAACAGTAAGGCCTGCAATGTAATATGAAGCTGAATGTTGGCCAACACATAGATAACACGAGCATAAAATGGGAGTAGCAGAAATGAGAATGTTAAGGTGGATGTGTGGTTATACGAAGATGAATAAAATAAGAAATGAAGATATTCGACGTAAGGTAGGAGTAATACCGGTAACTGAAAAGATGAGAGAGCATAGATTGAGGTGGTTTGGGCACGTAATGAGACAATCCATGGATGCTTCTGTAAGAACAAAAGTTTGTTACCAAGAGCTTGACACAAAGAGAGGTACAGGTAGACCGAAACTTACCTGGGGAAAGATAGTTAAACAAGACTTAATGGAGTGGAATATAGATTGGCGTACAGTGTGTCTTAGGACGGAATGGAGAAAAGCTATAAGCACGGTGGAAGGTTAAAACCCGTTGTTATTCCTATGTTCTAGATTATCCCTTTTTAGTCCTTTTCCTCTTCAATCCCCCCTCTCTTTCTTTCCCCTTCTTGTCTTTTATCTTATTTTTCCCCCTCCCCAATTTTTTATTTTATTTTTTATTTTATTTTATCTTATTTATTTTATTTTTTTATTCTTTTATTTTTTATTTTTAATCTCCTATTATCTATCATTGGGTTCATCTATCACCGACCCCAATTAACTTGGGTTAAAGGTGTTGTTGATGTTGATGTTGATGTTGATGTTGAATTGAATTATTTAATCCATTTTAATCTTATATATCATAGCGGATCCTTTTTAGTCTTAGATGGCCAACTTAGCAACAACTCATGCAAAAAATATGTTTCCATTAATTATTTCCATGAGCAATTGAATGGTAGACTGATGGAAGGACTTCATCTATTTAATTAGAAAAATTCAGGACTTAATTGGGGCATAAAATATTGAGGGATCAAAACCGCAGATAAGACACGATAGAGGGACCTAAAGTGCAATTAAACATTTCCTTTATGATTCATTAACATTCTGTATTTATAAGTATTTGTGGCCTTAGGAGCTCTGTTTTATTTTTTGTCACAGCTCTCATGTTTATTTATTCTGATAGAATGCTGTACAATTTGTGCTGATTCAACATGTTATTTGTATCTTGATCAGCACCCTACGCAGTCAGGGGTTGGATAAATTGGAGTTTACTTTTCCTAAGGGCATATGGTTGAGTTTTGATTTTGGTGATGCGCATCCGGTATTTTTTCTGCTCATTATGTTCTCATTTTATTTTAGCAGGATTGTGCTTTATTTTTTATCTTTTACCCCAAAAAAAACTTTATTTTATTTATTAATTATTTTTTTTCTGTTTGGAATATGTCAGGATTTGCCAGCTTTATTCTTAAAAGGTGGCTCAATTATTCCTGTGGGCCTCCCTCTTCAGCATGTTGGGGAATCTAATCCATCAGATGACTTGACTCTTCTTGTGGCTTTAGATGAAAATGGTAAGTCCATGCATTCAATTTTCCCTTGGCGTGCTTGTACTGATATTTTATCAAGTTCTCTACACTTCAGATTTGCATCTTGCTTTTAGAGGCTGCATGAATAAGATTTAATAATTGACAGGGAAAGCTGAAGGTGTTCTATTTGAGGATGATGGCGATGGATATGATTTCACTAAAGGCAATTATATATTGACACATTATGTTGCTGAACTTGAATCATCAGTTGTTACTGTGAGTGTACACAAAACTGAAGGATTATGGGAAAGACCTAAACGCCGCCTTCATATTCAATTATTGCTAGGTGGGGGTGCAATGGTATGTGATTTTATCTCAGAGGAACCTATGAAGAATATGAAACTCATTGATAGAAAGAAACTGTCAAAAATTGTGCTTGATTGACTAGTTCATTTATGTTTTACTGGTCAATTGATCTTAGCATTTATATAGTTATGTTTTGTAAACAGCTTGATACATGGGGAATGGATGGAGAACTTCTGCAAGTAATTTTGCCTCCAGAAGAGGAGGTGTCTAAGCTGGTAGCTACTAGTGAGAAGCAATACAAGGAACGTTTGGGTAAGTGCTTGTTGAAATCTTTTACTCGGTTCATTTATGAATATTCTTATATGGTATCTGTGCTTATATGATTCCAAAATTCTTATTTTCTTAACCATCCATTTCTCTGCTGATGCTATATTTTATCCTATAGTATAGTGTTTTCTAGTTTGTTTATCTCTTGCAAACAAGCCTGCTTTTAATATAAAATGACATCTGTTGAAGATATTTCTTGGTTTGCATATTCAGCTTGCTATTACTGTGATATAGTTTCGATGTCTTTATCTGTCGTATTAGTTCTTTCTCTCTGTTGAGAATTCAGGATTTTTTGCATGGGTTTTAGTTCTCCCACCTCCTCTCCATGATCAGAGTGGAGGCTAAGCACTGGTCTTATCCTGCACATTGTGATGCATTTTACTTCTGAATTGTATCTAACATGAATGCAAGTATCCATATGATGCTAGTTCTATATTAAGGTGTACAACTTTCTACCGAATGTTTTGCAGAAAAGGCAATTCAAATTCCTGATGTAGAAGAGGATTCTAGTTGCAAGGGAAAAGTGCTTTCAGGAACTCCCATTGAACTGAAAAGCAGTGAGTGGGTTCTTCAAATTGTTCCCTGGATTGGAGGTAGAATCATCTCCATGATGCACATTCCTTCAGGTAAATTGATTGTCCATGAGCAATTTGTTTATTTTTTTTTAAAATGTTTGGAAATGTACAAGAAGCTTGTATGATTTGTGTAACACCCCGTTCTAGAACCGGTTTGTTAACATTGCATTATGATATTAAGCGCAGTTACAATCACATGGGTTCAATTAAAATCCGGATAAATTTTTCATTTTAAAACCTACCGAACTTATAATACCCAATTCCGTGATCATAACCATATTACCTTGCGGAATGAGATAAATTAAGCTTAACATCATGTTCTTATTCCATCTTTAAACCGTTAATTTACTTCCTATCTATTTCACAAATTCTACTATATTGTAGATCTTTTCATTAACTACGCGTGGCTTCAAACCGCGCTCAAATCGGAGCACTGTAGCCCAAGTTGTGACAATTTGAAGCAACACAAGAGAGTATTGGTCACAGGCCCCGCGCGCTTCAGCGCGCTACCGGGCGCTCAAGCGCGCGCTATCGGGCGCTAAAGCCTCCATCTGGGCGCTTAAGCGCACGGAGGCAGGAAGTATCAGGTATTTCAGTGTAAATGGGCGCTTAAGCGCGCTTCAGGGCGCTCTAGCGCGCTATCCTGGGCGCTTAAGCTCCCATTGGGACGTTTTAGCGCGCAGAGACAGAAGCATCTCCTCCCACAGTGGCTAAGGGCGCTCAAGCGCGGACCAGGGCGCTCAAGCGCGCAACCCTGGGCGCTTAAGCCCCACTCTGGGCGCTAAAACTCGAGGGGACAGTAAGCATCCCATCTTTCTGCAGCGAAGGGCGCTTAAGCGCAAGAGCCCCCACTTTGGGCGCTCCAGCGCGAGGAGGCCGAATGCATTGGCACTCACAGGGGCAGCAGGGCGCTTGAGCGCGCTCCTGGGCGCTTAAGCGCGCTGCCAGGGAATTCCAATTCCCACATTTTTCAAGTCTAAGTCTAGGGGAAGATGCATCCCCATTCCAAACTCCAATTTTCCATGCCCCAAAACTAAATCCTAGCACTCATCCAACCTCTCCTCATGAGATTTAGCTAGAATTTGGGCAGCATCACCTTTGTGATGACCAAAGGCATGAGCATAGGCTAAGTCCATTCCAATATACAAATCATACGTCTATCAATGGTCTATGATTTACAATCTTATACATGTAAGCTACAAAACAACATGTATAATATCAAATATAGGATCCTCATGCATATGCTAATCCAAATATGGCCACTTGCCACCAGAGGCTCCTGCAGCATCCTTACCTGAAAGGGGGTCCCCACAACACGGGGTGGGTAAGGCTCGCCCATAGTTGGCGTATTTCACCAACTCATTGAATTTTGAGAAGTATTGGTCAATAGACATCGACCCTTGTTTGAGATCGTTATACTCATTCTGCTTTTGTTCCCTAGACTCTCTAGGGAAGTAGTTATCCAAGAACAATGTCTCGAATAACCGCCATGTGATCTCCCGATCTTCAGCTTCTAATGGCTGCACGGTATTTGTCCACCAATCTTCTGCTTCCTCTTCCAGCATATAAACAGAGTAAGCCAACTTCATTGCGTCAGGGCACCTCATCACCCTGAATATCTTCTCCATCGCTTGGAGCCATTTTGCAGCCGCCATTGGCTCATAACCTCCCTTAAAAGAAGGAGGTTTATGTTTTCGGAAAGCCATCAATCTCCTTTCCTCCATTTCATGATCACCGACATTTTCAACTTGAGGTTGACGAACCTCAGTGTGATGACTCCGACTTCCAGAGTGATGGCTACCCTCACCCTCATTGTTACCCACTCCACCCTCTTCCTGTGAAGGAGGTGGAGAAGGCGTAGCAGTGTGAGGAGGAGGAGTGGGTTGCCGGTTCACGGGCCTAGGACCCCTCAACGTCCTCAGCTCAGTCATCATTGCGGCCATGGCAGTCCGCGAGTCTTCATTTATTTTCATCAGATTTTCATTGGCTTGCCTGCTAGCAGCCAACTCCCTCTGAACGGCTGCAAGAGCTTCAGCCACGGGATCAGGCTGTACGCCCGTTGTCCCACGGCCACTTCTAGGCCTCACAAGAGCAGCCAAAACAGGTTCTGGCTGAGCATTGGTGTTTGATGGTCCGGGGTTGTTTCGGTTCCTCGTCATGTCACTACACATGTTACACAAAGAAGTGAGTTGATCAGGCCCACACTTAGTGATCACAAATGCAATAATCATACAGAGTACTAAAACAACTATAAAGCATCAAACACTAAGCATACTCAACAATAGCTAACAGTTATTCCCGACGAAACTGCTCTGATACCATAAAATATAACACCCCGTTCTAGTACCGGATTGTTATCATTGCGTACGGCATTAAGCGCAGTTACAATCACATTGGTTCAATTAGAAAACCGGATAAATTTTTCCTTTTTATACAAGCCGGATTCAAATAACCAAGTGCGTGATCATAACTATACATACTTCGCGGAATAGTGGGACAAAACTAAAGGTTATATTCCCATTATACTTGACAATACGTCGTGAAAAGTCTTCATCACTTTAATTATCAAATTAATTCTAAACTCCTTTTATGATTCCCATCTTCTACTATGTTATAGTAATTTTCATTAGCTACGCGTGGCTTCAAACCGCGCTCAAATCGGAGCACCGTAGCCAAAGTTATGCATTTTCCAAGAAAAGGGTGCGAAACCTCCAGAACCCCCGCGCCCGCAGCGTGAGATCCACGCTCAGAGCGTGGGAAAACAGAAAGTTGGCGCCCCAAGCGTGGATCTGGCGCCCCAAGCGTGGATGCTACTGTCTGATCTCATAATTTGGCGCCCCAAGCGTGAATTTGGCGCCCCAGGCGCCATCCACAGGGCTGGGTGACCCAAAACAAGGTCATTTAACCTACCTATGGTTTTTCACTCATAATTTGAGCTATACTCTCTCAAATTACACCATTTCGGTCTCTATGGAAAGATAAGAGGAATGTCTACCACTTCCATAGAGACATCAAAGTCCAATTCCATCACATTGGGTGTGAAAATTGGTCAAACGGACATGATGTATTTGTTTTCTCAACATTTCCCAATTTAGCACTAGGTACCTAATTGATTTTCAGCCCAACCAATTCAACAACTCAATACATAACAAGCATGCATATATTGAATTTCAAGTAGGCATCATTTACATTACATATCCTTTACAAATCATAGAACTTAGCTTACAAAACACTATGATCATTCCCTTGGCTCCCATCAACAAAAGGTGTAACCAAAGGCATGAGCATAGGCTAAGTTCATCCAATGAATCAAGATATACAAATGACCATGGGCTTTCAAAATAAAATCCTATACATGTCAACTACAAAAGGCATGCATAAACTCAAAGAAATGCCATATATCATGCATAATCCAGATATGGCCACTTGCCACCAGAGGCTCCTGCAGCATCCTTACCTGAAAGGGGGTCCCCACAACACGGGGTGAGATATACGAATATATCCAGTAAACCAGGGGTCCTAGGAGCATCTCTCCACCCCACAGTTCCATATCAGTGTAATAGCGATAACAATAATAATGCAGTAAATACATATCTATGCAAAGTGCAATACATCTCCAGGAGAAATCCCTCGAGCTCTCAAGCTGTCCTAAGGAAACTCAGATGCAAATAGTCCTACTGGCCAGCTAACTACCAAGTATGATTTACGCATCGTCATGCCACATACCAACATAGGGAAACACCATCCTATGCCACACCAAATGCATACACATACGTATAACAAAGCATTACACTATTTTATTGCATTTATATACACAATCACAACCTCCACCCTTTCAGGGCTTGGTAGAACAGTCAAGGGAATTACACCCAAGGTCCGAAGGCTTACCTCAATGCTTCAGTCGACCTTTTTTCTTCACCAATGTCAACAATACTCTACTCCAAAACCAACACCTACACATGGTGTAATGCAATCAACACATTGCATCCAAGAGTATTTCACAATCAACCATCAAATACTCAATTCAAAACACCACACAAGTGTGAGCTTACCAATTCCAATGAGCTACTCAAGCTCCATAGCTTGTTCAAGCGGTTGATCACTCACGGTCGGTCCAAATGTCTCAATCCTAGACATCATTAGGACACAATCATCAATCAACCAAGCCATACCATTTATCAACAATGCAAGAAATCCAATATCAAGCATCATATTCTTGCCATTTTACAAGTATACTCATTTAGCTATCTAAGCTCATTTTCACCGATTAAATGACATTCCTAGCATTTTCCATAACATGCTCTAAGCTCCATTCTTCCTAGAACATAGCTAATTTAACAACATTCATCAAAATCCCTAAAACACTATTCATAAACCCTAACTCATGCAATTTTCAAGGAATCATGAGGTTCAAGGGTTAGAATCTTACCACCAATGGTCACACAACCAAGCAAGGAGTGTTCCTCAAGCTTCAATGGAGGTAGAAACTCTCAAAACCCCAAATTTCACCAAAGGGCCGAATTTTTGAGAGCCAATATCTCACCACACAAAGCTCCCCACTTAAAACTAAGCTTGGATTATGAAAGAGGGCGAGATTCTAAGCGATTTAGGCTTTTGAATCACCCAAAACCGTTGGGATTTGCTCCCTCCTCTCTCTCTTCTTCTCTCTCCCTTTCTCCTCCTTCTCCTTCTTCTTCCTTTCTTCTTTGTTTCTGTCGACGGGAAAGTGGGGGTTTGGGGTTCATCTTTTGGCTTTTAGTCACTTAACATTGGTTAAGTGGCTTTAAGCGGGTATTAGTTCGTCTATCTATTCAACTCCAATAATTACCAAACTTTATCCAAAAGTCTGGAATATTATTCTAGGAGTATTACTATTTTTATTTTTATATTTTGGGTACTTTTGCCAGTACCCATTTCTACCCCTTAATTTTCACTGAGTACACTTTTTAACTCCAAAGTGACTCAGATTCATTTAATTAAGCCCTATACTTAATTTCACTCACTAAAACATGTTTAATTAATTAATTACACTTGATTTACTAATTAATTAAGATGGGCTATTATACTTGGAGCATCTCTCCACCCCACAGTTCCATATCAGTGTAATAGCAATAACAATAATAATGCAGTAAATAGTCCTACTGGCCAGCTAACTACCAAGTATGATTTACGCATCGTCATGCAACATACCAGCATAGGGAAACACCATCCTATGCCACACCAAATGCATACACATACGTATAACAAAGCATCACACTATTTTATTGCATTTATATACACAATCACAACCTCTACCCTTTCAGGGCTTGGTAGAACAGTCAAGGGAATTACACCCAAGGTCCGAAGGCTTACCTCAATGCTTCAGTCGACCTTTGTTCTTCACCAACAGTTTCAGCAATCAACTTTTACAAACCTAAACCTATACAAGGGTAATGCAATCAACAAATTGCATTCAAGGATAACTCATCATCATCAATCCAAGCTATCCTATTCATACCACAACACAAGGATGAACTTACCTATTTCAAGGACTGATCCATCTCCATTGCTTGCTCCAAAGGTTGGTCAATTAAGGTTGATCCAATTGCCTCAATCCTAGACAACACAAGGATACAATCAATGAGCAACCAAACAATGGTTCAACAATGCAAGAAAACTCATAACCAAGTGTCATATTCTTGCAATTTTCCAAACCTACTCATTTGACTACTAAGCTCATTTCAAGCATTTTTCATAACATCTACTAAGTCTCAAACTTCCTAGAGCATAGCCAATTTAATCACATTTCTATGAAAACCCTAATACACTATTGACAAACCCTAACTCATGCAGAATCTAGGGATTTAGTATGCAAAGTAGTGGAAACTTACCACCAATGACCACACAACGATGCAATGAGCGCTCCTCAAGCTTCAATGGAGAGAATCACCCCAAAAGCCCAACTCTCACCAAAAGGGGCAAATTTTGGAGGGTTGATATCTCTCTCCCCAATAACTCCCCTCAAAACCAAGCTAGGATTTTGAAAGAGGGGAAGAATCTAAGTGGTTTAGGCTTTTGAACGAATGAATTTGGTTGAGATTTGCTCTCTCTTTCTCTCTCTCCCTTTCCTCTTCCTTCTTTCTCCTTCTTCTTCTTTCTCCTTCTTTCTCCTTCTCTGGTTGCTCGACGAAATAGGGTGGGAAATGGGGCTCTTTTGGCTTTTAGTCACTTAACATAGGTTAAGTGGCTTTAAGCGGGTATTGGTTCGTCTATCTATTCAACTCCAATAATTACCAAACTTTACCCAAAAGTCTGGAATATTATTCTAGGAATATTTACAATTTTATTTTTATATTTTGGGCACTTTCGCCAGTACCCATTTATACCCTTAATTTTCACTGAGTACACTTTTTAACTCCAAAGAGACTCAGATTCATTTCATTAAGCCTTATACTTAATTTTACTCACTAAAACATGCTTAATTATTTAATTACATGTAATTTGCTAATTAATTAGGTTAGGGCTATTATAATTTGCTTCCCGAAATTGCCATTTTTTTTAAAAAAAAAATCTCATTTTATGCTCATTCTACAGTTAAGCATTTAGTATATTTCTTTCCTCTCTCAGCTAGGAGGAACTTATTTATAATATCCTCGTGGCTTAGTTTGGACATGTTGTAATGATTTTAATAGAATTCCCTTTACTCTCCGTATAACCTGTATCTTCTTTGTGATTTATGTTGTTTATAATATGCAATGTATTGTTCATTATAATAAACAATCTGTTTTCAGAAACACAATGGCTCCATAGCAGGATTGAGATAAATGGTTATGAGGAGTATAGTGGTACAGAGTATCGTTCTGCTGGGTGTTCTGAGGAATACTCTGTCATTGAGTAAGTTTCTCTTGTACTGCATGTCATCACTGAGGAAACTTTATTGTTGAAGAGCCACCAAAGGCTACTTTGATCCTTGTGTATGCCTTGTTTTTTTTAACATGTTCTTGTATTCAACATGTCTTTTCTGGCAAAAAAATTTCTTGCAGTTTAGAACTTGAGCATGCAGGGGAGATGGGATCTGTGGTATTAGAGGGTGATATTGGTGGAGGATTGGTTCTTCAACGGCATATCTATTTTCCAAAGAGTGCCGCCAATGTTATCCAGATAGACTCTGGCATAATAGCTCGTAGTGTCGGAGCTGGTTCTGGAGGGTTCTCAAGGTTTTATACGAAGCTTCTCTTGTATCCTAACAATAATTGCATTATATCTCTTTTATTGTATTTGTTGAGATATATAAAATCATTAAAAAGCCCTCACCCACCGGCTTAAGCTTTTAGGTTGAAATGGTTCTTTACATGGTATCAGAGCCTCGTGTTCCGGGTTCGATCCTCGCCGTCCCCCACTTTCTCTAGTGGAATTTCTTTCTTCGCACAGGTAGGTGGCCTGTGCATCGTCCACCCTTCAAGCCCAGTGGGCTCTCGTGTGAGGGGCCGTGTTGAGATATATAAAACCATTAAAAAGCCCTCACCTACCAGCTTAAGCTTTTGGGTTGAAATGGTTCTTTACAGTATTATTAAATATATGAAATTAAGTTTATCTTTGGTGCATCTCTATTCTCTTGCGATAGCAATAGCTTTTTCATGAATTATTAGCCTGTAGAGAAGACTATGATAAAGCCTTGCTTGGTTTTGGGGGGCTGAGGCATGTTTTTTACCTGAGTGCCACTACGCATTTGCACCTGGAAACATGCTTTTGGACACTGATGGACCTGAAATATGAGGGGTAAAGGTAATAATAGTATAGGGATTGTTATAGATAGAGAAAGAGTAAGAGAGTTAGTTAGTTTTAGAATATTCTTAGGGGATAGGATAAAAGGAGGGAAAATGTGGGGTGTGAAGTATGCATGTATTGAGTGAATATTGGGGAAATTAGGGATCTCTTAGGACCTAGGTTAATTGGTTGTAAGGGTGAGTTAAGAGTCTTTTTGGTGTATTATTTTGCAATTAGTGTTTGTAAGGAGCCCGGCTCCATTACTGTTTTCATCACTTTCAGATTAATAATATTGGGTTCCATCAGACAGATTTTGAGATGTTTGGCTGGCAAACCCAGAATTAGTTTTGATCCCAAATGTGAATCTGGCAGAAGTAACATTTATTTTTTTCAAGACAAATTTTACAATTTTCCCTCTCGTACAAATTTAAATATTTTTTAAACAATATAATTTATTTGTTTTTGGCAATTTCACACTGAAAAGTAATTTTATGTATCCCTATCAAATCAACGTACTCTTTCAAAACTACTTTTGGGTTAACATTCCTTCTACATATAACTCATTCTTTCAGAATTTATTCTTCCAAAATTACTTTCGGGTGAACATCCAAACCCAAACGGGCACTAAGATTGGCTAGAGTCAAGTAGAAGATTGTATTTAATTTGTGTCACAAGTGGAAATTTGAGACACTAATGAACCAAATAAAGTATTTTTTCTTTGTATGTTATTTCCTCTGCTGAAAACGTTTGGAAACTGCCTATTCAGATTCTCTGATTTCTTCTATGCTCTATGTTCTGCAGGTTGGTCTGCTTAAGAGTTCACCCAACATTCCATCTTTTGCACCCCTCAGAATCTCTCGTCTCATTTACCTCGGTTGATGGAACGATGCATGAAGTCCTTCCTGATAGTGGGGAGCAATTCTTCGAAGGAAAGCTTATTCCTAATGGTAATGGTCATTTTATCCTTTGCATTATTCATTACTACCCCTATGAAATGTTGGAACTAAAGAATAAATCAGGCTTAGTCTAATAGCAAAAAGGGTAAAAAGATTAACCTATTAGGAAGAATGGCTTTTATATTTCTTAGATGCTCGCTTACAACTAAGGTCACTGAACTTAAAGCATCAAAGAGATGCTATCAAAGTGTCACTCAACCTAATAGTATTAGCTATTAAACTAGGGCAAAGTAATAATTCATATATCTAGAAGAAGTGTTTTGGAGATAGAAACAAATGATGACAGTAGGATTTGATGGTAATAAGGATTATGGTTCTATTTTCTTGCCTTTTCTTTCTATTCAATGTTTTTAAATATAAGCTCCGTTTTTTTTCTCCTATAATGGCATTCGCCTCCCTCTTTATTTATAAATTTAAAATGAAAAAAATATAACTATCATCCATTTTAAAAATCAATGTTCTTATAGGTTGGTGGAGGCTAAAATATAACTATAGTCTAGGAAGTTAGATATTTTGTTAACATTTTTCATGTAGTATAATTTTCATGTCAATCTTCTGACACTGGACAGCACAATAGTTCTTTATAAGTTTTTCAATGTAATTTCATTTCAGGTGAGTGGAGGCTCGTTGATAAATGTCTTGGCTTGGCACTGGTTAATCGATTTAATGTTACTGAGGTATTCAAGTGTCTTGTTCACTGGGATTGTGGCACTGTCAACCTGGAGCTTTGGTCCGACAGCAGGCCTGTTTCAAAGCAATCCCCTCTCACAGTTTCCCATCAGTACGAGGTTATAAGAATTCCGTAATTATTCAACTGGTCATTACGCAAGGTGTCGAAATGTTTGAAACAGCGGATCTGTGCTATAAAACATGCATATAAAACCATGTTTACAAATCTAAGTGCTGTTTTCTTCTTCCTTTTCACTTAAATGCATGTTTGGTTGGACTTTTAACCTTTAAAATGTAATGAATTATAGAGGAGGAATGATAATGAACAACAGTATATCTGAAAGCCAGTAGAGTCATATTGTATTTGTACTTTTAACAGCGTCCAAAAATAAAAATCGATACCTTGCACAGTAAAATTAACATTACCATACCATATCACCACATGGATCAATCTGTCTTTCAAGTACGCCCAGCTTCAGTAATCTTTGGATTCATTAATCCTCATTGTCCTTGGCCTATGAGCTTTGTCAGATACCTCGCCTCCTCTTTTCTTTCCATCCTTAGTGGTGTTCGGTTTCTAACATTTGGGACTTTGGACACATGCACGCAGTTGCTCTGAGTCTCCTCTATGATGAGGTATTTCAGAACCTGCTACCTATATCTCTTGCATAATTATGTAATAGGCGTGTAGGAGTGTAAAGGATGTTCTGAAGGGAAGAAGTAAGGATTTGTTCATTTACGCTCCTTATGGTGTAGTATTTGTGAACTTAACTTCATTATAGATATGCAATAGTGCGAGCAGGATTGTTTTTAAAGGAAAAAGGTTGATAGTTTTATTTATAAATTAACATTCTATCAGTAACATCGTAGTTTGGCCCTGCATAATTTATTTAGTATAGATGACAGAAATCAGAACCCACCTAAGAGACTCAATGAATTTACGAATTTACACGAATTCCTCAAGTATAACTCTTCATTTATATACCTTGCTTCCTAAAATACAGACATCTTTCTGAATTACAGTATGAGCTAAATTTTGTTTGGTGTTAAATTAAATTTGAAATAAGGAAAATGCACAATAACTGAGGAATGTCGAATATTCAAAATAAGCAGGTTTGCATATTCTTATCAAACATCAGACGTGGTTTGTCTAATTTATGCTATATGTCTCTGCAACCGTCCTCTATGCTTTCCTCTGTTCTTTTGTCTTCTTAGTTCAGAAATCAGAATATGTACTGACCTGGAAAAAAACACAGGTAAGCCTGTAGCTATCCGACGCTGTTATCCGTCTTTAGTTTTTAATACTGCAATGTGTTCCTACATGAATACGTCAACAACAAAATTCCATGTCATCGATGGCTATCAACAGCAGAATATCTTCAAGTTTTTCCATCGCTTTACCTTTTCACCCCGAACCACAACTCATCCGCTGATTCTTCAACATCAGTCGGTTCGGACGTCTTTGTCTAATTTACGTTTGTTAAGGGATGCTTTTTTCCTTTGTTGTTGTTCCTTTAGTTTCACCATTGTTATCTGCCTTTTTTTCCCTGAAATCGATGATATGCAACCAATTGATACGAGTTGACTTGTTCTATATGGCGTGGCCCTGTCTTTACTACTCTCGGTAAACGAGAAATTTTTATCAGTTCTTGAAACTCTTCGAAATATATCAAGGTCTTACTGTGACATTCACTAGATCCAATTATCTTCTTTTAGAGTCGAGAAAGCAACCTTTGATCTCTCTTCCTATAACCAATTCAAATTAAATATTCACTTTAAAATACCCGGGTTGTTGCTAGATTTATGATGCTTTTACAGAAATATGTAGATTTCAACTTCACCTTTCTGTTCATTGATCTTGGAAAAGGTGAAATCCAAATCTACTGTCAAAATAAAATAGCAGCACTAAATACATATCAATGAAAGTAAAAGCTATTGTCAAAAGGAACAATTAATACGCCATTGAATTATTAAGCAGAACATATATCATGGAGCTCTCCGAGATATCGTATAACCACTTGCACCCTCAAGAGTGTACAGTAGAATTAAAAATACTTTGAACCAATAAACACTCCACACTATTTACTTTGTGATGGAAACCAAAAACTATGTAGTCAGCAGCAATTTTATTTATTCTATAGCCCAGATGACTTCAGAGTTTGTGTCTTTAATTTTCACACTCCGACACCAAAACAGGCAAAGAAACTTTTTAGTGATAACCAATTGGAGCAGCAGCCTCTCTTAACTCTCGTCCTTGGTAATGTATATCCTGCAATTTCATAAAATTAAAATACCATTAGTATTCTAGACTCATATAATATAATCACATGAAAGAACCCATTGAATTTTTTTTCATTTATAGGTTAATAAAATAAAGCTTACCGATGCAAAGTGATTGACATCACGATGATGTGCTTCATCAGCTCTGACAACCATGACTACATCCCTTAAAGTTGAGTCTGGTGGGAGCTGCCAATAGTCTTTGGCAATGGCTGGAGCTGGAACATTTTCTATGTTACCCTTGTCCAGCTCCTTCAGAAACTCTGTGTAGGAGTATATTGCTTCCTCCTCAAGGTAACCAACCACACGGTGGGCAAATTTAGGTGAGAGCATATAGCCCAAGAAGTATGCATTGAAGAAGATGCCTTGGACAATCAACACTAGAGCACGGTCATACCATGTTGGCTTTGATACCTCCATGAAGGTCATCAGGTGCATACGCTCGTTCTCTGCTTCTTCTAGCAATGCTTTGATCCAACCACCACTGTGCTCAAATCGTCTCAGGGATTTGAAATGGAGCATCATGCCTCCTACCATGCCAGGCACAGCTGCTACAGTCTCAAGCATCATTGCTCGGCATCCATAACGTTTCTATTACATTTGCATACAACATAATTAAGAACAAAATTTGAACATAATATATAGAAAACAAAACTCATCTAGGGGATAATTACAATAGGAGTGAGGGTTTCCTTCATAATTGAGGGTAAAACAATGCGGGGATTGGCTTTTCACACAATTATTTCCTTCAAATAATTTCGGTAACAAGTGAAAGTTAAAATATATATATATATATATATATATATATATATATATATATATATATATATATATATATATCCAGAAACCATCAACTTGTGGTGGAGGAGTTTATAAAACATGGATGATATCATTTCGTGTGCTAGTTGTTAGCCAACTGACCTAACCGGCCAAACCACACACCAAACCAACCAAACATCACATGCATCGATCATGCATGGGCAAAACAAATAGAAACCTAACAAGATGATCAAGATTTTCTGAACATGCAAAGTTATAGGTATCAAATATGAGTTAAAGACTGATTTAATTTTTTTAATATTACTTCTATGAAGTCATACGAGACGTGATTTAATTTTATTTTTTTATTACATGACATAAAGCCATAGCCTTCTGATCATGCTCAAGAGAGTGTATATATATACTTCATAAGATATATATATATATATATATATATATATATATATATATATATATATATATATATATATCTTATGAAGTATATGACCCAGGACTTTTCATTTCCACCATCCAATTAGTGCAAATTGTAGCCCATGACCCGACTTTAATATCAGTCATAAAAGTTGTATGCATGTATACGAGTTATGTCATATACTATTAAAAAAAATGGCGTGTGTTGTGTGTCTCTCTCTCTTTATGTGTGATAGGAATATTTAAATATTAAACTAGAATATAATTGTTGTATCTGGTATTATAATTTTGCTAAAAATAAATTGAAGATTATATTAGAAAATGCTGAATAATACCCACAATTTCATACAAATCACATTATTTAAGAATTAAATTAATTTGTGCTAAATTAATTTAAAAAAAAAAAATTGAAAATAGCCTTATATAACTTCAAAGACTTGAAAGGAAAACCTGGAAAAACAGATCAGTGGGGAATCTGAGAGTCCTGACAGTCCAATAAGCCATCTTGTCCAAAAAGGTGGTGGGGGCATGGTGCTTCTTCAGATCAATGGAAAGGTCTGATTTGTAAGTCTCCCATGGCTTCATCAAATCAAACAAAACATAATTAACACAAAAACCAACAATTAATACCCATTTCTCCAAAAACAAAACTAAATTATAAAAACAAATAAAAAGAAGAAGAAACAAACAAGCAAATACATTATATTAATATACATACCTTGAAGCAATTCCACCCCCATTCAGTGCCATCAGGTTTGGTAATCCTAGAGGGATGAATTCCCCAATAACTCACAATCCCTTTTTGCTCTTTGTTCTCACCAGGAGCAGCACTGCTGTGATCAGAATTAGACAAATCAACCCTTTTCTTCTCTTCATTGTTGTCCTTGTCTGAAAAAGCCAAAGTGCTCTTGTTCCTTACACCACTCCCATAAACTGCAGTTCCTCTAACCAGATAATAAGAACCACCACCAACTTCACCACCTAAACCCTTCACCGTTGAAAACAAACGGTGAGACGCCGCCAGCAGTGCAGTGTTGGCCACCCGGGTAGAACCACCGCGACTCATCATGTTCACCATCATCGTTGCGATCACCACAGTTTTCAGCACTCACAGGGAAACCAGAGTGTTTGTTTCACGAGAAAGATCGATTAGAAAGAAAAAGGTTTCATAAAACGGCTTGTGAATAAAGGGTTTAAGGAAGGGTTTATATATTTATTAGTGTAAAGAGAACTTAAGGTCAATAACGTTGATACGTTGTCTCTTCTCTTGGTTGGTTTGGCACGAGTTTTTTTTTTTTTTTTTTTTTTTTTTGAAGATAAGGAAAATTAAAAGCTAGTTACAAAATCTTGGCACGAGTTTTCTAGAACAAATCTTTTACGTCAAAATTTTCCCATTCGGACATTTTTATAAATTTTGTCTTTTAAGGTTCCACTTGACATATATATATATGGGGAGGGTTCTTTTGACTCCAGAGTAAGACTTTTAAGTCTTACTCCAAATCCCAGCCGTTGATGGACGGAAATCAACGGTTGTCATTAATAGTATAATTAATAATTAATTAATTAATATAACTTCCTAAATTATAACCGTTGGATGGACGGAAATCAACGGTTAAGTCTTACTCTTGAGTCAAATGATCTCTCTCCTATATATATATATATATATATATATATATATATATATCGTTTTTGCCTTGTATATATGATTTTTAATTTGTTTGGGTAATTTGTATATTAGTAATTTGATAATTTATTATCATTTTATTAAAATTTTATATTATATCTTGTATTATTTTAATTCTGACTGAAATTGCATTTTTATATGTGTACTATGAAATGAGAGTGACGTTGGGTGAGGTAAATGGTACTAATTAATTGGGCATCTTTGTACTGCATTAGGGGCCATAATTGGGCATTTAATTAATTAGGGACTGTTTCTTTTCTTGGAGAGCAAGTAGGTTGAGTTTTCGTGTTCTTCAAGTTCACGTCGATAATATCTGTGGCCCACGTTCGCTTCCGAATATTCCACGCAGCGATTTCGTCCTTCTTTTCGCGTCAAATCAGAGTTCATTACCGATAGGAAAACAAAAGTATCTTTTGCATGGAAACCGACTTAAGAATATAGGAAAGAGTATTAAAAATAACTTATTTATGGAAAGAGCGTAAATACTCGTAAATAATATTAGAGGAAGATTATATTTTATAAATTTTTATTTATAAATTATATTATATTTGACCAGTCATATTTCAATCAAGAGTGTATGACTGGTCAGACTCAGTGTAATTTGTAAATTTGTAAGAAAAAAAATTTGTTAATATAACTTTTCTCATTATATTAATAGCATTATTTTTTTAATTTATATTGTATATATATATATATATATATATATATATATTTGTTTTTGTTACATATTTAAATGCGATAATACCACTAAATACATGCATCAATCAATAGAATTATTTCTGTTTAGGTACGAAGAGTTTTGTCGAATTGGCGCCCTTTGATCCTATTCGGATTAAAAAAATATAAGAATATGCTTTTTAAATATATTTTGGCAGGATTTTTTTAATTTGCTGCTGAAAATAGGTCTTTCACTTTTACGATGGAAAGTATAAGGGTTTTCTTTTTTCGAAACAAAGTATAAAAGTTTTCTAAATCAAGTCAAATACTAATAAGTTGCGACTTTGTTGATGAGCAAGTTTATAATACGTAGTTGATAAATTTTTTAAATAATAATAATTTGAATTTATATAATGATAAATTATAAAAGTTTAGTATAAATGAAAAAAAGAAAAGAAAATATATAATAATATTATATATTGAAGAGATTAATATATTATAATAGGAAAAAATCTAATCCACGTTTAATTATATTAAATAGGATAATCTTCAAATTAGGAAATAAATCGGGAAAATATGAAAAATTTATTTTGAGATTTTTTTAAAAAATATCTTAAACTATATGGTATTAAATTATATAACATATTCTAAATTTATCCCTAATATAAAAAGGACATTGATGAAAGGATAAGACTGTGAGCAAAATTTGTTTGTACAAAAATAAAATAGGGAAAAACCTAATCCATATTTAATTATATTAAAGAGGATAATCTTAAAATAAGGAAATAAATCGGGAAAGTATGAAAATTTATTTTAAGAGATTTTTTAAAATATTTTAAACTATATTAAGATATGGATTAATATTATATAACATACTCTAAATATCCTTATCCCTAATAAAAAAAGACATTGTTTACGAAAAAAGGACATTGATGAAAGGATAGATTGTGAGAAAAATTAGTTTGTACACACACAAAAAAGTTAGTAAAAAATCTAATCCATATTTAATTGTATTAAATAGGATAATCTTAGGATACTAAAAAAAAAATAGGATAATCTTAAAATGAGGAAATAAATCGGCAAAATATAAAAAAATTATTTTAATTATTTTAATATTTTAAACTATATTAGAATATGGTATTAATATTATATAATATATTCTAAATATTCTTATCCCTAATATAAAAAGGACATTGATGAAAGGATAAGATTGTGAGCAAAATTAGTTTGTACACACAAAAATTACGAAGATGCTTGGGAAAAAGAATAAAAAAAAGAAGCCAAATGACAAAACAAGGGAATATCAGATCGTACAAAGGAGACTGACCAACTATCCAGAATTTATTCATAAAATAAAGATTAAAAATTATATTTTAAGAAATTTAATACTTTATCACAATTTATTGGACAAGAGGAGTTGTTTGTAATAATTAATTATATCAATATTAATGTACTTGCAGTTGGCTCATATGATTTAATTATTAATTCAAGAAGCCCGAAGTCAATTAGAATTGTTGCTCAATAACTATGACTCAATTAATAAAAGAAACATTAATTTGAAATATAACAAATTACGATCAAATATATAGACCAAATGAAGCAGCAAATATGATTGTGATTTGTTTGACAAGAAAATAAAAGCAACACATTTGACATAATTTGACTTCTAAGATTTGAGACATATTTTAAATGATTTAATTATAATTATTTTTAGAAGTTATTAATTAATGTTATATTTAATTTTAAGAATTTTTCTTATTTTTAGGATTTTAGATTTAGAATCAATTTATAATTAGTTTAAAAAAATGCGCTTAAAATCCTTATGGAGTTGAATTTTGTTATTTTGTTAACTATATTTGAGAATTGGATGATTACTTTTTTATGAAATTCTAACCTTCTCTTTAGCTACTTTTCTATACAATTTCGGTAGAAATGGCGAAGTAGGTGGGGCGGTAGAAGTGGCGAAGTAGGTGGCCCATCCTAGGAGTGTTCGTTGTCTAGATTGGATCGATTCTGGAAGCAAAAATCATCCGATCCAATCCCTTCGGTTTGGATTTTTGTCCAAATCCGATCTGATCCAATCCAATTTTTTTCAGTTTGGATTATATCGGTTTTCGGTTTTTTGAAAATCCTAAAATTTGTTTCATAATTATTGTACAAATAACATCTTTTGTATATATTGGCTTTGTAAAAAAAAAATTAAATATAAAAGCATCAGTAAATGATAATATAGTTTTTTTTTTGCAATGAGATACGAAGCTCTACACAGATCAAATATTATTGATAAGATGTGACTGAATTTTTTCTTTTTGAAAAGCAAACAGGAAACATAAAAACAAAAAAAGAAACTAGGAACACCTCCTAGACCAAACTACTCCTACATAGTCCCTTTCAAGTTTGTCACGACAACCAGAAGGAGGCGAGTCAAACTCTTGTAAAGACCAATCAAAGGAGTAGGCAAAAGAGGCCATCCAATCGGCAACCCCATTCCCTTCCCTATGAATATGGGAAATTCTAACCCTCCAATTCCAATCCAGCATATTCCTTATGCGCAAGACCAAGTTAGAGGCTGGATGATGAGAGCTGCACCCTTCTTTTATGAAAAACTGGGCTACTAAGGAATCACCTTCAAGCCAGACAAAACAGAAACCTTTCCTCCATGCAATCTCAAGCCCAAGGAGACAACCCCAAAGTTCTGCTAGCAAAACATTACCACAGCCAAGATTTTTACAAAAGCCAACAAGCCACCTTCCACTAGCATTCCTAAATACACCCCCACAAGCAGAAGCTTCTCCATTATTCATACTTGACCCATCCACATTGAGCTTAACCCAAGGGTCCGAAGGAAAAACCCAAGAAACTAATTTCTCTTTATTCGAGTTAGTCTCAAGACCAGCAACCCGAAGCGTGTTTTCTGACCAAGAAAAATCTTCACCATAGACCATAGCAGCTCTAAAAGTGCCATAAGCAGGAACAGAAGATCCCTGAAAAATTTTCTTATTCCTAGCTTGCCAAATGAAACAGGAAATGATACCAAACAGAAGAGGCCATGATGGCAAATTGGACCAATTACGATCCTCAGAGATATTGGACAACACCCATTGCTGAAGATTAAGAGAGAAAAAATCTTCCCAAGCCTCTCGCTTAACTGCAATCTCCCACACTTTTTTTGCTGCAATACAATCTCTAACCGCATGTAAGGAAGTTTCCGTAAAACAATTGCACAGATGACATATATCTGAACCCGCCATGTGTCGTCTGCAACGCCTTTCATTTGTCAAAATTTTATCTCCTAACAACAGCCAAAGGAACGTACGAATCCGTTCAGGTCCATGCCACTGCCAAACGCGATTCCAAGGTAAATTGGTAGATTCCTCGTTACCCCTGGATATGGCCATATAAGCGGACTTCAGCGAAAAACTCCCATCAGATGTCCTTGTCCACAAAATTCGGTCATGACCATTAACATCCGAAGGAGGAAGGATGTTATTAATACGAGCATTGACGTGATCGGGAAGACTATGCTGGAAAGCCCCCCACATCCAACTTCCGGAGGATGAGACAAGATCAGAGACCATTAGCTGATGATTTATCTGAGAGGGATCAGAAATAGCAGCATAGGATGAGAGTGCACCACAACCCGGAACCCACGGGTCATCCCAAAAATGAGTAGAATTTCCATTACCTAGCAAAATTCTGGAATGCTGTAATATCACAGGCCAAGACGAAACAATTGCTTTCCAAAGAGAGGAGCTATTCCGAGTAGCTTGGATCTAGTTGATGGGTTAATGAGTTTTAGGTTTAGAAATTTTTGGCTATTATCA